CCATTCCCAGTTACATTCATATATCTGAGAGCAGGGTCTGGCTCAAAGTTTCCATTATAAATCCCATGTTCCAGTTTTATATTTGGACTTTCAAATGTCATCAGCTGGAAATGCTCTAAAGGATTTTTCAGGCTAGGCACAATACATTTCCCATAAGTTATTTTGATCAGTTTGCTGAAAATATCTATGGAGGGTACACACACAAAGTTAAACTCCTCAGGATTTCCAAGGGTTTATTTTCCAAACTCAAGCCCACACTTCACCTTAAAAAGTGAATGTCTGAAGCTAGTCCTTTATGTATTATTCTCTTCTGGGTTTCTTTAGCAGTGCAAGCTAGCTTGCTGCATCTATGTGCTGCTCATTAAATTCACCACATTGCTGTTCCTGGGTGTTTGAGGAGGGGACAGGTTGATGGGTTGGAACCTGGGTGACTGTGGTGTTATAATATGTAGTATAATATGTCTGGGGAAGTGATTGATGGAGTCTGGGGCAGTTTTAAGTGCTCTAGGAATGGTTACAGATAATGCAATAAGGCCCAGATTTTTAAAAGTATTTAGGTGTTGCTGTGTTCAGCATTGCAAGGCCTAACTGATTTAGGGGTCTAAATCTCATTTTCAAAAGTGATTTAGGCACTTAAGAGTTTAAATGCCATCATCTGTCAATGGGATTTTGGCTTCTGCATGCGTAAATCCCTTTTGAAAATGAGATTTAAGCTCCTAAATTAATTAGGAGTTTCAACACTGAGAGCATAAATACCTTTAAAAATCTAGGCCTAAGTAGCTCATGTTAAATATAGTACACACTGTTGCTTTTAGAAAGTGTGAAGAGCATGGAGTTCTAAAGAGGTGCTGGGAAAAATCTAAGTCAAATACATATCTGAATTATTCACTATCACTTAATGGTCCCCATATTAGGAATCTCAGTTAGCAGCAGCCTGATGTGACATACTGCATAGGAGGAAGTGGGCCTCAGAAGGCTTTTCTGCAGTATAGGAATCTGGGAAGAAGTTGCAAGTGGCTGACTGGCCATCCTCCCCGCTGGAGAAAGTAAGGTAGTAGCAGATTGGGACTGAACAATCTCATTATGCTCTGCATACTCTTTACCATGTCTGATCACCCGGTGAAAAGAGCCTATGCCAAGTCCCCCTAGCGTCAACTGGCACCTCCATATATGTATGATGTGCTCTGCTTCCTCCATGGCATATTTGACCTCATGTTCTCCTCGCTCACAAAATCTTTCCTGCAACTGCAAGACCTCCTCCTTCCATTTATGCCTTCATACACACACATTTATTCTGCTTCTCAGGTAGCACTACTTTAAACATGCCCTCTCCAAGATGGTTTTATACACAGTACCACCTGCAGTGCAACTGCTATCATGACTCATGTAGAGTGGATTTTATGGCCTCTAAAGGAAAGTCAAAACAAGGATTGGCCTGCTACGTTGGGTGCCCATCACTGAATGGGAGAAGAGGCAATGATTCCTTCCATGTCTGAAGAAGAACTAGCAGGAGTAATTTCTGGGTGACTCATTTGCACACACTCTGCCTTCCAGAAGGAAGTGAAACAGTGGAGAAGGGCAGAGAAATTTAATGTAGGACACTATCTCAGCTGCACCATTCAAATAAAGCCACAGGAAAGTCTCCTTGGGTTAGCTAGAGTTTCCCTCTTCAAGAGATGGACACTTTTTCAGTACAGGTTGCTAGTCTTTTTAAAAATATAGCCCAAAGTAACATGGAAAAAAATCAATATGGCATGTGAATATAGACGAGGCCATTTTTGTAATTAGCCATTTTCAAAACAGAGGGCATGAATAATGTAAGCATGAAGGTCTTTTTTATTTAATTTTTCTTTAAACAGATTATGTTTCACATGGTTCAAAAGACTAGCAAGCCAGAGAACAGTGCTCAGTATTGTACGGTGTATAAACAGCTGTGGCTAAGTGCATAACAAAAGCTATCAAAGGGCTGAGCCAAAAAATGGATTTAGCTATAAGGAGGAGAAAGAGGCATAACACTGTGTAATGATGACTTAGTTCTGCATTTGTCATTTAGTCTTTGTGCATGTTATTCCAGCCTCACGAATAGGATTTCTCCTTTCTCTTCAGCAGGTTTGCTCAAATTGCTGCTAGTAATACCTTGCCCTTTTAGGCCTCCTTTCTGCCAACATTAAGGGCCAGACTGTGACATGGACCACATGCCGGGAAGTAAGGAGTAAGGAGCACTTTTGTATATCAGGATGCCAGTTACCTAGCCCCTGTGTCTGGGTGTCTAGGAGGAAGCAGGACTACATTTTCTCCCTTGGGCAGGAAGGGGGGGGGAACAGGTAGAGCCTTGGCTCCATTCCTTACTCATTGGCTGGAGTAGTTGAGCCAGTGCAGGGTTAGATAATATTTTGCTAATGGTAGAGGGCAGCCGAAAATTGCTATTCCCTGGGAGCAAGCAAGGTATTGAGATTCAGCAGTGTGTCTCAGAATGACGATGTTGAATCACTCTTCCTGGGGTGATGTAGCCTATGTCTCACCCCAGGCTCTGAATGTGTGCCAAAGGTAATAATCTAGCCCTAAGTAACTTGTCCTAGGTCACAGAGAAGGTTAGGTGAAGAGAGGAGAATATCAAACTGGAAGTTCTCACTCTCAGCCCTCTGTTAGAACCACTAGGTATTATGGTGACAGGTTTCAGAGTGGTAGCTCGGTTAGTCAGTATCAGACAGGCCAGTCCTTGCTTCCAGACAGCCCCACAACCTGAAGCAAATACTCACCAGCAACTACACACCACACGACAAAAACACTAACCCAGGAACCAAACCCTGCAACAAACCCCGGTGCCAACTCTGTCCACATATCTATTCAAGGGACACCATCATAGGACGTAACCACATCAGCCACACTATCAGGAGCTCGTTCACCTACACATCTCCCAATGTGATATGTACCAGCAAGGCCACTCTGCCATGTACATTGGCCAAACTGGACAGTCTCTACGCAAAAGAATAAATGGACACAAATCTGACATCAGGAATTATAACGTTCAAAAACCAGTAGGAGAACACTTCAGTCTCCCTGGTCACTCAATAACAGACTTAAAAGTGGCAATTCTTCAACAAAAAAACTTCAGAAACAGACTCCAATGTGAAATTGCAGACCTGGAATTCATTTGCAAACTGGACACCATCAAATTAGGCCTGAATAAAAAATGGGAGTGGATGGTCATTACAAAAACTAATTTCCCCATACTCATTTCCCCCTACTGTTACTCACACCTTCTTGTCAACTGTTTGAAATGTGCCACCCTCATTACCACTACAAAGGTGATTTTTCCTCTCTTGGTATTCTACTGTTAATTGAATTGTCTTGTTAGCACTGACCCCCCACTTGGTAAGGCAACTCCCATCTTTTCATGTACTGTGTATATATACCTGCTACTGTATTTTCCATTCCATGCATCTGATGAAGTGGGTTTTAGTCCATGAAAGCTTATGTCCAAATAAATTTGTTAGTCTCTAAGGTGCCACAAGGACTCCTCATTGTTTTAGGTATTATGGGTAAAACTTTCAAAAATGCCCAGGAGCCTCATTTACAAAGCTATTTAGGCACCTTAAAGATGCTGAGAGGAGCCCAGTGGGATTGAAAAAAAGTGACTATGAAGGTACACTGCACTTGCTTAGGTGCTTTTGAAAATCCCACTAGGTACCTACCTGCATCTTTTGACACCTAAACACCTTTGTAAATCTATCCCTAGGTGACTTGGGCACTTATAAACCTAAGTCTCATTGTCTTTCACAAGACTTAAGGGGAGCGCTTCAAAGTCACAAACAACACTTAGGCACAAAATTGTATGTGCCTAAATACCATCTGGGCCTTTGAAAGTCTCTCCCTTAGGTTCCAAAGTGCTTAACTCCCTTTTGAAAATGGGGTTTAGTCTCCTTTAATTACTAAGGTGCTTCTGAAAATTTTACCTGACCTCAGACTCTGTCCACATTCTGAATCATATTTTAGTGAGTTAACTAGCAAGTACTTTTCATTTTCCTGTATTAAAATGGGCTCTTATTTCATAAAATGATAGCTTGGTAGAAATTTGATGGTGATGATAATAATTAATCAATTGAATAGGCTATCAGAGGGCTGCATCCTAATCCTGGCTTAACACTTAGCATGTCCTCCCCTCAGCTTCACATCTGGTTTCAGAGGCTTGTGTCAAGACTGCAAACAAGCTGGGAGCCACGGAGGGAAGGAATTTCTTCCAGTGCTGGCCCTCTTTAGAATCGGTCTTCTGAAGAGGAAGGCATGGGCCTGGTGAGGGGTGTATGAAGCTCAGCTGGAAAGTGCCTCCCATTTGGCTGGGAAAGTGGCAGGGAATTCTAGAGAGGTGGTATGCTGACGAAGTAGCTTGAACCTGGACAGTTGCACAGGCACACAAGGTTGGCAAGCCTGTGCTAATTGTGATATGTAGCCTCAGCTCTGAATAGTGGGTAGCATGGAGCTGCAGTGACCCAAGCCATGCCTCAAAACGGTGCTCTCTGGTGGGCACAGGAGGCAATGCACAGGCTATAGCATCCCTATGGATGACCCAATGTACCCTCTTATCCTTTCCCAACCACTGCTTCCTCCACTGGGATTTGTGGTCCCAGGGCAGCATGGAGCATGCAGCCCTTTTCCCTCCTCTATTCAACTGTGCAAAGGCCCTTTGCAGAAGGTTACCACACTCTCTTCCTGCTGCACTTAATTCTTGCTATTCATTATTCTCACTTCTAACTTGGATTCTGCCTCCCCTAAGCTTGAAAGCTTTTTACAGAACCTATAAAAAGCAAATATCAGAGCTGGTTCTGTGGCCGGGTTATCCTCAGCTCTCACCTGTGTCTGCTTTAAAACCAATAAGCAGCCTCAACACAATTGGCTTTGCATAAATATCTGCTGATCAGAGATCGTAGTTAGTATATTTTCTCAGTCCTGTTCTCCGTAATTAGTGCTCAAGCAAATGAACTGCAAGTAGAGTCTTTTACCTCATGTTCTCCTTCCTGTGAACTGTCAAATACATTTCATAGACTCTTCCCGGGGGAACAGCCCCGGCAGGGATCAGCAAACTTACGCCTGTAAAACAGAAGAGACACAAATAAAAGGAAGTGGAGAAAGAGAGGCAACCAGGTCTCTGACGAAGAATGACAGGAGATTTGATGATGAAGCCCTACATACCAGATTCCCAATCAACCCCGAAGAAATAAGGTAATATTTACTGTCGCCCTGGCTTCTGTATCTGTCACTTGATTGGTTACCGGTTCCTCCCATGTGTTTGTTTTGAATTACTGGAGTGGAGAACTGGATATTTCCCCTCCCCCTTTGTTTTATTTAAGGAACAAACAGATGGCTACTCTGTTGCCTACTTTGTAAAATGGGGGGAAAACCAACAATTCTGTCTAAAATTTCAAACAGCTGCAATGGAAAATCTCTCCCCAGGCATTTCTTTTTTAACAAAAAACAACAAAACCCCAAAACAGCAGAGTACTGGCCCAGGAAACAACAAGAGCCATTTCTTTCTGAGAGGAGCTGGTCATGTGGTCAGCATCCAGTGTTTAGAGGTACTTAACTTCTAATTACTCAATAGTTAGGACAAAATGGGGATACTTGACATCCCTTATATGCCCATTCATAAAGAGTGGTCCAGATTCCAATACCCAGTCTTGGCCGGTCAAGTCTGCCCTGCACTGAACACAAGTTAGTGGCAATTAATGATGTGTTTGATTGCAGTGCATTGTGCCTTCGTGATGGCAGTTTCACAGATGTAGTGACTGGCTCCCCAGAAAATGGACAGTTCTTTTTACCACGAGGCACAAGTACTCAGTAGTCCACGCAGCCGGGCAATTCTGGACCAGCTGCCATTGCTGAACTGGAGCGATCAGTAATCTATGGTAGGGATTTTAGTTTCTCCTGCATAAAATTATAACTGGACAGCTGAAGCAAACCTATTAACAGAATATTCACAAGGATATTAGTGTGAGAGGGAGTGTCAGTGTGAGAGTGAGTGTCAGAGTGAGAGTGAGAGAGAGAAAGAGAGAGAGGAAATGGCCTTACAAAATGATTTACCGGACAGTCCTAATCAATATATGAATAGTTTGGGGCCTGGCTACATGAAACCACCTCTCTCTCTATGCAGTACATCCACTCTTGTGACCAGTGGATGTGTTTGAGCTGGAGTCCCTCCCCACTGTTTTAAAAGGGAAGGTACAGCTGGCAGGCTGTTTTTCATGAATGCTTTTGACTTCGGAACTTGTTTCCCTGTGGGTCTGTCACAGCCCAGGTACATTAAGCTTCTGGGCATGCTGCCTCACCCATGTATTTCCTCAGATGTGCAGGGAGGGATTATAGGGACTTTTGACTGTTAATTGGTAGGTAAATATTACTGGAAGCCCACCGTATTGGGTTAGAGCTGATGGATATATTTGTTCCTAAAAAGAAAAAAGAAAAGGAGTACTTGTGGCACCTTAGAGACTAACCAATTTATTTGAGTCTCTAAGGTGCCACAAGTACTCCTTTTCTTTTTTCTTTTTGCGAATACAGACTAACACGGCTGTTCCTCTGAAACCTGTCATATTTGTTCCTGTTTGTTTTAATTATTTTTAAAGTGCCCCTAGCAATAGATATGTACTTCTTCACCTACAAACTGAAATTAATATGTGAATTAAATTATATATGTCTAACAGACTTTGGAGCACATGTGGAAAGCACAGTGTAAAGTAACCTGAGAACAAATTGGCCTCTAAACTAGAAGAGCCTGAACTTCAGGTCTACAGCACTATAGACTAGATTTTGAGCAGAGCTCAGCAAACCACAATCAGGCCAGATTTTGTTTTTCTCCAGAACAGCTCAGCACCCATTTAGGCCCCTAAATGAAACACATTTGATTTTCAAAAGCATTCAGCATCCAGTAAGAAGAATAGGGATCACCAGAGGCTAAGGGGTTTTGGAAATCTAACCATTTCATTTGGTATCTAAATAGGAATGCAGTTGTGTTTTTTGTTTGTTTCTTTTAAATCTGGTCCTGGTTGCAGGTGCTGAGCACTTAAGAAGCTGGCCCTGAATGTGGTGAAGATTTGGTATTCTACCAGATTTGAATATCCACCCCCAGCCCACTTCTCTGAATAGCCCATCACACTGAAGCTGGATTAACTGAAAATTTTGGTTAACTGGAGTCCTGCTATCCAGCTAAATAACAGCATAGCCATTTTCCAAGCTGTAAACATAACTTAGTTTTTTTCCCCCTTTACTAACTTGTGCAGTTCCTGAAAAGCTTCTAAGAAAGAAATATGAAAAAGACACACTTAATGTCCAGGTTTCCTTTGCCATGTAATCTCTGTTAGGCAAACTATTCAATCACCTGCAGAAAATTAGTATTCTGCTGTCTTGATTCAGCATTGCACGGTCTGCAGTACACTGGAACTGGAACAACTGATTTGTTTTCTAATTAATTTGTCCTTTTTATGTACGATAACAAAAGTGAGTCTTTCTGGCTTGAAGTTGGGTTGTTTGGATTTTTGGGCGGATCTATATGAAAGGAAAAGGTCAAGGATGCTGAATCCCACTTCACACAGGGAAGTTCTGAGGTCTAAGGAAGGAAGTGGTCACAGTCTTCTGATTTGTTGTTAAAGAAGACCAGGACTTTTGGGAAAGGATACGTGAAATAGCTGAGTTAAACCTGAATGGAAAAAAAAATGCTGTTTGAGCTAAACACAAAAAAGGCAGATTCCAAGCAGTGACCTTGTTTTTTCTGCCGAAAAGAACAGATAGAAGGCATTGCTTAAAACCACCAAACCACCACCACTTTTGAAATCTCACTCGGTACCTCTGAAGCTGATATGTGCAGTACTTACCTGAACTGGGAATAATCAGGTGACCCCCAAGGGAGTTGAAGGTGCCAAAAGCAGTGCATGATGGGTCTGTTTGCCGAGCAAGACTCTGGTTCTTCACATTCAGGGTCTCGTTTTCCAGCAGAGACTGAGTTACCTGTGGGGATAACTTGGATGAGAAGTCAGACAGGTCGTCCTGGGGAGTGACTGCACTCGAGGTACTATAGACCTTGATCTTCAGGTTGGGCAGTGGATCAAGGATTGGAGAGTTGGTCATTGGGATTTTATCAGAGACATCATGCAAGGCGTAGACAGGACCTCTGTACATGGCTGCAGCAGATGTGAGGTCTGGTGGCACTGCCAGGAGATCTGTGTTAGAAATGAGAAAAAACAACACAGTGTTACCCACGGCTGTATCCCCATCGCTGAGGACTTCCTTCTGCGTGAAGATTTAGTGGTTCCATTCTATTCGTGTCTTCATACTGAAGGGAATGATGAGCAAAGCCCTAACGGACTGACATTCTTCTCCTTTTGTATCCATCCACACGTCTCCAGGGGTTTACATAGGCCCTATCGCTATAGAATCTAATTGCTGCACAAACCTGAAGTGCAACCCTACTCCAAGGATTTTTAACATGTATTCTTTTCCAGTCTGCACTCTGACTTCAAATATGACACGCCAGGCTTCAGTACAAAAGACTCACTATGACAAAACCAGTTGTATTAATTAATGGTCCTTCCATAAATGCTAAGTATGAGAATCATTAACCTATTTATTCAACTAGTCCAAAGACAGAATGATAGAAAGAAGAGATAGAAAAGACCGATGGGGTCATCTTCCTCGTCACCCATAGCCAATGCAGGATTGTCACCAGTGGTATGTTGTACAGTGCCTTCTACAGCTTAGCTTTAAACAAATCCTTGGCAAAGGAAGTGCTGCTCCTGCTAATGTTCCATTTTTACAACTCTACTAGCCGGTTTTACTTTTTTCTTGATGTAACTTTAATACACAAAGAATGACATCAAAAGCCAGAAGTTTCAGCCCAAATAATGTGTAGCTTCCAAGAGCCAGTCTTGGCTTTGTGTGTGTTCATTTCCTGTCCGATGATGTCTGCAAATAATTATGCTATTATTAACTGGTGACAGACATTTTGACCATTATATTATGTTTTCCACCCACTGAACCTTGCGCCTTGTTTACACAGAGCAATGTTTCATCTCTGAGTAGTAAATACCTCTCACACCTCTCTCCATGCAGTCAGAGAGGTCACAGTAAATATGATTATCAGACAGTAAAATGGGAAATATAATGTGATGGAATTACTTTAGTAGAGTATTATTCTAAGACATGGTAGAGTGAATCCTGTTTCTGTTGTAGCCAATGATGTATTTGTCACTGACTTATATACAAACCCTTATTTCTTCGTGTCTCTGTGTGTCTCTCTCACTCTTTTTCTCCTGAAGTTTATACTCCTTTGTTTCATGCTCTAGAGTAGGTCTGAAAAATCCCAGCGTAAGTTTTAGCACTTGACTATAAGAAACAAATGAGCATAACCTTTCTTTTTTCTATGAAGGGACAACTAGCATCTAGCAAATATAATTCATACAACCCTGAAGACCATTTCCTTACGGCATCTGCCTGAATTGATCTACGTGAAATGAAATGACAACTAACCTTGTCTTGCAGCCTTGATGTTAACGGGTTGGAATCCGCCATTTAGTGCTGAGGAGTCTATAATATCTGACTCAAAGTCACGGTGGTTCTTCCGGTACACAAACAGTGCCACAATCACTGAAATAGCCAGGCACACGATTACAGCTATCACAATGCCAACGTAGAGAGCTACGTCATCTGAGTCAGGAGCAGCTGGAGGGACAAAAGGATGAAACATTGTTCAGCGGTATCTGGTCACAGGAATTTCCAATAATATACATCCATATCACTGTCATTTCCTTCAGACATTTGTTACCTTTTTTATAGCTTAACTGAAAATCCACCTCCAAAGCTGTATAACAGGGCTGTTCCCTTTCAGTGGAAAAATTATCCTAGATTTTTCTTAGCTATTTTCTCATGCTTTATATAGCTATCTATCTAGTAACTAGGCAGCATAACAAACCATTTATAACTAGACTTATAAAGCAAATTTAGCTAAACGGGCTATAACACCATAGCAATTCCTGGTGAAAAATTCAATGTTAATTTAGTGGTACATTGGATAACAAAAAGGTTTTTTACTTCATGTCTTACTTTAAAAATAAAAGGCCACTTTTTGTGGACACGCCTGACATGTCCTGATAATGTGTGTGTACTGAGTTAGAATATTCTTCTAAGTGTAATATTCCAAGTCATTAGTTTCTTTCCAGAGCATGTCCTACCTCCCCCTACACCCCATTTGAGACAAAAATCCTGCAAAAACAGAGCAAAACAAATGCTGAGATCTCATTAGTGGAATGAGACAAACGCTTGGACAAATGCTGAAGCAAGCACCGTTTACTGAAAGCAAAATTCAACGAGGAATACCGTAATTTACAAAAGGCAGCCAAATTCACTGTAGGTCTCCTTTGGGAACAAGGCCTGCCCATGAGATTTTTGCTATCTGTTTCTACCATAACTTTGGAGCTAATCCCAGGGTAATACCTAGCACCACTTTCTACCAGATATGTTTCCAAAAGGCCTGAATACATGATCAAAAATTGATGTATTGTGTGTGTCGCGAAATATTCCACTGTTAGAGGAAGCATACAGAGCGAAGAAACTGCAAACAGATCAAATCTTTCTCGTGCACCATTTTGGTTTAATTTAGAGCATGTGAAAGAATTTTTTTGTTCTCTGCTTTCCCAAGGTGTAAGCCAGTCTCCCTTGCAGGTGAGATATGGCAGATGTTGAAAGGGACTCATTAAACTATCTGCTCTTAGCTATTATGTATTCTTAAAATCTCCATTGTTCAAAATGCAACCCACTTTTGTCCATCAACAGGTTCTCAGGAAGCAGAATTCTGAGTTCCAGCCTGAAGATGCTATATCTCCTCCATATTCTCTCTCTCTTTTTAACCAAACATTTATAATAATTTCATATTTGACAGTTTCCTACTCCTCCTTAGATATGAATAGGCTTCTCCCTTTCATTTCTGGCTTTCAAGCACCAGTTAATCCCCTTTCCTTTATCCATCTATTAATGACGACAGTCATCATGCCACACGAGCCGACTGCAATGTTGTTGTAGTCATGTCAGTCCTAGGATATGAGAGAGACAAGGTGGGTGAGGTAATATCTTCTATTGGACCATTGTCTGTTGGTGGAAGAGACAAGCTTTCAAGCTAAATAGACTTGAAGTCTGAAGAAGAGTTCTGTGTAGCTGGAAACCTTGTCTCTTCCACCCACAGAAGTTGGTCCAATAAAAGATATGAACTCACCGACTTTATTTCTCTCACGTGAGTTTATTGGCAATTATAACACTGCCACTCCTTCCCTCCCAGTAAGCAAGCAGGATGCAACTCACGCTGTACATTAGGCCCCTCTTTCCCGATGCACATGTATCGGGGCTACAAGTAAACCTTGAACCAAATAACAGCATCTCATCAGTAACCAGAAACATAAAATCAAACATTAAACTTACAAGAAAATCCATATTCATTCTGGGTTCTCTGTTCAGTTGAAATAGGATAAATGAAACCTTAAAAAGAAAGAAATTAAACAAAAATGGGAACAAAATTAAATTAATGAAGGGAACCAAAAAAAGGAAAGCATGAAAAATGGTTTAATTAAAAAAAAAAAAAAAAAGGAAAAGAAATCCATGGTACTTTACAATTCTGATTCAGCACAGAATTATGATTTTGTATCTCCTGTCTGCTCCAGAGCCTCACTAAGAATTAATAAGTAGGCAGATTGAATTTCAGAGCCAAAATCGGTCTCGAGTCACTAACTTTGGAGTGCTTAAAGTCTTTCTTTTATTGAGCATAAACTCTAATGGATCTAATTTATTTCAGACATCAAGCATCATTAGCATATGGAAAGTCTTTTTTCCCTACCCCTGCCATATGGTTTAATTCCCAGGACATTTTCAGTCAGGCTCTAAACAGGTTTTTTATTTAATTATAGTGGCTTGCTGTTGGTCTAATAGAGCTAAAGGAGACTTGTCGTCATTGGTCAGAGGTTAAATACCCATTTGCTGGGCAAAGCCCATACAGAAAACCCTCTTTCTGGATTTCCTTGGAATTATTTTATCCTGTCTCTAATAGGAATCCAATAGGAATTCCACAGGGTGCAAGCAAATTGAACTGGAAACTGAATGTGTTCGATTTGAAATCATTATAAAATCAATAGAGGACCTGGGGTCAGAAAGTTATTTATTTTAAATCTTTGAAGGCATAGTGTAATATTGATAAAATCGTAACATAATTCAGTTTTATTCCAAAACAGATCAACAGTAACAGTATCTCTTTCTTTCTTTTATTCCCTTTCCAGCTCCTACAATAATATAGTAGCACTTTTTCTCTTCCAGTTGCTCTAGCTGGTTTGCGTCATAACCCTATGAAGTAGGCATTTATTTTATTCCCTTTTTACCAGTGCAGAAAATGCGTCAGAGGGTCCAAGACTGCTCCCATGGAAGTCAATCATGTCTGGAGAGGTAAATGACATGCCCCAGGCAACAGAGGGAATCATTGTCAGAGCTGAAGTGAGAACTCCGGAGGGCCTGACTCCCTTTCCTGTGCTCAGGCTGTGACACTTTTAAAGCCATACTATAAAAATACCAAGTGTTTATGAAAGCTAACTACCTGTCCCATAACGATGTAATTAACTGAAACACTAGAGGCAAGCAGAGGTATTCTTTATGACAGAAGTGCTTTGCTGCAGCGCCATGGGACAGCATTATGCTTTACTTCCCAGCAATGATTCCAGGCTTGTGCTTACTTTTATAAATATTACATTCCTCACGCATTTGTATGATTCCTTGAGGCAGGTTTGCCTGTTTGCATTTTTAACATGCGTGCTTGATCTTTAGTAATAATTGTTTCTCTCCCGTACTAGTGAACTCAGAACACTGGAGTTTAGGACATGAAAAGAATGTAAGGAGAGAAGAGAGACAAGGTGGGTGAGTTAATATCTTGTATTGAACCAACTTCTGTTGGTGAGAGAGACAAACTTTTGAGCTTCCAAAGAGCTCTTCTTAAGGAGAGAAGTCAGGCAAGCAACTGCTGAAAGTCTGGGGCAGTGAGAGCACAGTTAGTCAGTCCCTGGTTGGGAAACCATCAGTTCATGCTCGTGTTTGAAGCTGCACCAGTGTCACCATGCAATATGTAAATTTCAGGGATTTGGTGGAAACCTGAAGACATCTTGGTCTATTGTGGGGAGGTGATACAGAACTGAATTTGCTCTCAATGACACTGGTGTAACATCAGTGGAATTGCTCGGGATTTATTAAACTCAGTGAGAGAAGAATTCGGTCTTAGATGTCCTCCCTGCTGGAGACAAAGATGCCTTCTGGAATCCAGCCAATAGATGGAGCTATAACAGGAAAATTCCCTGAAAGCCAAAAAAATGATGTCGCATTAAAGGGGAACTGAGCAGCTGTTTTTCGTTTTGTTTTAACCTGGCAAGTTTTGAGTTCAGGGTCCTGTGTTACCCTTACTATGGTTGATGAGATATAGTAACTACCACGCAAAAGAGATCAAATAGCTGCAGAACTTGCACTATTCTAGGTGTTCCTGATAGCATCATCTGTGGTTGGGGAAACACAGCAACCTGAATTCATGTCTTCGTGGGTAAGTAAGCACAGAGATGATTTTAAATATTCTGGGTCAAATTTATCCTGATGTGACTACACCATGGATTTCTATTTGTTAAAAATATGTATTTGCAACTTCTAACTCTATACACACTCTGCTACTGATTAATTTAAAACAGTAGAACTTTTATGAAAAGGCAGCTACATAATACTGGCATCCTCTTATCCAGAAGATCTGCTTTATGGGAGTATTGAAAGTCCTATCTATTTACTTAAATGGAAAAAATTAAGCTTTACTACTTGCTAGGCCTGCTAGCCTTTCAAAGCCAATGCAGCGAAGACAAAGCAGCTGGATTCTATTCCCTCCTGTGCATCAGCGACTGAACTGGTTACTACACTCCCATCAGCTGCATCTGTGCAAACCCACATTGGCTTGCACAGGTGCCAGTGAAGGCATAATTTAGGCCTGCAGAATTTTCATTCTTGTGTATGACGTTTATTCCAGGCTTGACTTTCAGAGTGCAGGTTGAATTTTGCAGAACAATTGAGCATAGCTGGTTTGGAAATCGTTGAGAGATAATAAGCATGGAGCCCTCCCGTGCCATTTTTACAGAGTCACAATTCAAAGTAAAACTGCACTTTTAAACAGCTTTAAAAAAAAAGAGCTTTTCCGTTCACTTTTAAAAAAGGGAGAGAATTCAAATGGCAGAGACAAGCAGAAGGCTCGAGGACACACTCTGATGACGGTGGCAGTGGGGGATATCAGATTATTGCCACCCTCCCAGAATGACAACATGGGTATCTCTTTAGACTGTTGGTTTTCATGTTGGCCCATCTGATCCCACTCTCAGACAACGAGCAAGGACATTCTCTTCAGATAATGAGGCAAACCCGCTGAGATTAGTACCTGTGATAATGAAAAATGGCTTCCCTCCCATCTTCAGAGAGAGTGCTATGCAAAATAATATCCCCCCACCCCCAACCGGTTGTATCAGTAGTGCTGTTTGCCAAGTACCTAAGGGACTTCTACTGGTATTATGAAAATTGTAAATGAGGGGAACTAAGAAAGGTGCTGTTAACAGGCTTTGACTCTCCTGCTGGTGCTGCTGACTCATGCATTGAACAGCTGGTTTCACAGTCAGTAACTTGCTTTGAGGAAAGTAACTTAAGCCTCTTCACATGGCTTGTTATAAAATGTAACATTTCCAAAGGTTCTCTTGGTGCTTTGTTGTTTACCTCTTGTGTGCGTTACTGCTGGAAGAATAAAAATATGAATAATTGTACCTTACACTTACATAGGGCCTTCCATCTGAAGATCTCAGATGCTTTGCAAAGTGAGGTATTTATTATTCCCATTTTACATACAGAAAATAGTAACACAGAGAGATTAATTGACTAGCCCAAAGTCACACACGGTGAGTCAGTCAGAGGCCATGTCTACACACTGAAATTGCACTAATGCAACTAAATTCATTTCTAAATTGATTTAATTAAATTGGTGCAACTCCCCTGAGTTTGCAGCCTGCTCCACCCCCAGTTTTTGTACCAGTAGATCTATTTTAGTGGAAGTGATGAAGGGTGAGCTTTTTTTTTTTTTTTAAACCTGAAACAGTTATAAAGGTGCCTTATACCATAATAATTTATTTCCTTTCCCCTACAGGAATAGCAATACTGATATAAACATCCTTTATACTGATATAATCCACTAGGGGGTTGTACTGGTCTAGTTAACTTTTGTGCGTAGAAAGACCTTTGACTGCCTTATATCCACTGAGACTAATTAAATTTCAATATCAGTCATTCTGAAACCGATGTAAGGGGTTGCACAGATTTAACTAAATAGATTTAGAAACTGATTTAATTAAATCAGTGCAATTGGTAATGTAGATATGCTCCAAAAGTCAGAAATAGAACCCAAGTATCCTGACTCCCTTTCTCCTGCTCTGACCTCCAGGAAGTAGATTCATGCCAAAGTAATAGGTAAATGACACCAAGGTGTAACTAAGTTGACAAAATTTCTGGACGTGTGGTACCCTGGCAGCCTGACTTTGTGGGAAGGTAGTAGAATTAATAAGCAGAGAGAGAATTTCTCTTCATGTGGCAAAAAGTCCCCTAAAATAATTTACCTGCAGAGGAGAAGAAAAGTCCACTCCATGCAAAAGATACTTTGGCTTTTTTTAAATTAATTATTAATTACTATTATTATTAAGAGATGGGTTATTTGGGGAATGGAAACATTCATCAGTTTGAAAGCTAATTATGCAAAAAGTTATGACACTCGTCCTTTTTCAAAATTTCCAGAGATGTCCATAGTAGCCAACCTAGCATTTCTGAATTTTTGGTCTACACTAATCATTACTGGGATGTGGACTTATATACTACTACATCATGTTACATCCTTTGTCACGTCAAGATTAAACTACTGCAGTCTACATGGAGCTATAGTTTAAGACCATTTGGAAACTACAGCTGGTGCAAAACTCAGCAGCCCACTTGCTAAATAGATATCTCTTTGCAAGCATATTAACTTTTGCTCTATTATTAAATATGAATTAATTATTATTATTATTTATTTGCATTGCAGTACCACCTGGGAGCCCCCGTCATGGGTCAGGACCCCACTGTGCCAGTCTCTGTACAAACACAAAACAAAAAGAGGGCCCCCTGCCCCAACGTATGCTGTATGAACTGCACTAGCTGTCTACTGGTTCAGGGATTGATTCTGAGCTGTAGATTTTTATCTATGCCACCGAAAACTACTTGAGACATTACCTATCTAGGAGACGGCCTCTCTCCCCATGGTATAAAACAAGTAAGACTGCTGGGAGCACCTTTGGAACTTTCTTCACTGTTTGGTCCATAATAGAATTTTTAACTTCCAGGGAATATTGCAAGGCCCATCTTTTCTCCCTTCCCCGCAGGGAGTTGGGTGAGGCTGGGGAGTGGTT